AACAGCCTTCCTGTAGGCCCCCTTCAGGTACTGGAAGGCCGCTATTAGGTCTCCTCGGAGCCTCCTCGTCTCCAGGCTGAACAACCCCAGCTCCCTCAGCCTGTCCTCATAGCAGAGGTGCTCTGACTCCCTGATCATTTTAGTGGCCCTCCTCTGGACCCACTCCATCAGATCCATGTCCTTCCTATATTGAGGGTTCCAGACCTGTACACAATACTCCAGGTTAGGACTCACCAGAACAAAGTGGCAGAATCACCTCTCTGGATCTGCTAGCAACACTTCTTTTGCTGTCCCATGGACATGATTGGCTTTCTGGGCTGCAAGTGCACACTGCCTGCTCATGTCCAGCTTCTCATCCATCAACACCCCCAAGTCTCTTTCCTCAGGGATGCTTTCTAATACCTCATCCCCCAGCCTGTATTGATACCGAAGATTGTATAATACCCCAACAACCATATGGATTTGGTCTTCAGAACTCTGTGTCTGGAAAGTCAAGGCATTGACTGACTTCATTCTCCCTGTTATGTTTTTTCTCACTTCCACTGGCATAGGACTCTGTATTTTTACAGAGAAATGAGAACAACTCACGGCTCCTACCTTGCTGTAAGTGTTAAATAGGCCTGCATAATTTTGTTCAGTTAGGAAAAAGATTAAAAAAAAAAAACAACTCACTTTGTTCATTTTAACTGTAAAACATTTCTTCTGTCATGTTATAGTTAATATTTTATCCCAACTTTATGCAGAGATGGAGTAATGGAAAAAATGCTTGAAGGGTTTTTTTTCCTCCCAGCAAATCTTGGCTGTAGAAAAATAATTACCCAATTCAAAAAAAAGGTTTACTAAATTGAATAATTCTTCCCCAGATATTTTTTCCTTCTCATGATTATTTTTTAACTAGTCTAGATAATGATATTATTAGCTAATTAGTGATAAATGTCAGTAATTTTATTTTACTGAGACCATTTGAAGTCATGTTTGTATTTATGCAAAATGCAGATTGACTGGAAGCTAAGGAGGTATGAAATTCACTTCTGCCCCAGAGGCCCTGCAATGAACCAAAGCAGTGCATAGACCCAGCTTCCAAAGGCAGAGATGGGACCAGAACTTGAGTGGGATCCTAAGGGAGAAATGAATTTTCCAGTTTAAGACCAGATCATGACAGTTCTTGACACATGGAAGACAATTTTAGAAGATCTTCCATCTCAGTTTAATCACTAGTCAAGGGTCAGTTTGAGGAAAGAGCTTGAGCATTGAGTCAGTGAGGCGCTGCCAGTCCTAGATGTTTAAAACAGAAAAGGCAGTGAGGCCATGACTCCTTTTCTCATTTGCCACTGCAGCTGGCCAGGTATGTCAGAAGGGCATGCTTTAAAGGGCAGATATTACATGCTAATTCCTCTCCTGAAAGACTCTGTGTGTTTATGTCCCCAACAATACCTACCCAACCAACCAATCACCACATATGCCTCTGTTGTATTCCTCCAGAAGTTTTGACTTACCTTCTTCAACTTAATTTCAGCTCCCAAAATACTCCCGTATTTTCTGACCCCAACCAACCTCTCAATGTGACAGTGCTATGTTTCAGGGCTTTGTTTTGCTTTTTTGAGATGTAAACAAATATTAAACCTCTTGGTTCTTCCCATGAACAGAAGACATCAGATATGAGATATGAGCTTTTATAGTTCCCGAAGTGTTTGACTTAAGAAGATCCTGCCAGAGTCCTTTCCCAGCAAAGCAAAAGATTTTTTTTACTTGCATAGGTATTTTAGTTTTGTGTCTCATGTGTTTCTAAAATGAAAATACTAGTGGAACAATACTGTGTCCTCTAGTACCAGTGTACAGCTGGTGTAAGGAATTCAGCAGGGTTTTTCGGTCAGAGGGCTGCATGGTTCAGTGGTGTATAGTCTGCTCTTTGACAATTGCACCATCCATTAAGACACTCAATCACCATTCAGCTCATCTGGAGGGACTTTAGCAATTCCTTCCCTGCTGCAAGCTCAGATGCACTGTCTCAGCAAGTACCATAGGAGAAATCCATCATTCAGAACACTCAAGTAACCATTTATAACAGTTTTCTACTCTCTGTCATCTCAGGTTCTTGTTTTTGTTATTCCTATTGCATTAGCAAGAAATCTGTGCATATGGCAGCTTGAAAGACTGAGAAGAGACCTATCATGGGTGGCTCGAGAGAGCCATATGCAACTTGAGAGCAACTGTCTCCCACCTTCAGCCCAAAGGGAGAAAACAGGGAATATATTAACTGTCAGCAACCTTTAACTAAAGGGCTCTGCATTTCTAATCAGAATAGCCTGTAACAAATTGGGTAGTGTGTCTGTCTGTGTATAATGCCTCTATGTTTTTGGTGCATAACTAGACTATAATAAAATAAAATATTTATAGGAAATAAATGAAGGGATATTTCCTGAGCAGCAATTTTTAAAGCTGTCACTAACTGTTGTAAGTGCTTAGTGCTTCCTTCCAGAAATAAAATGAACCATATTAACCATGTATATCATTGTTTGGGTCATCAGCCTGTAAACCACAGATTTTCCAGAAGCTGAGAGAATAAACCAGAGGAACAGCCATTGCATATGTGTTGGGTTGTTATTTTTTTTCCTGAAGTGTTTGTCTTTGACCAGTCATCAACAGAATATTAGGCTAGACGGACCTTTGATCTGACCCTGCAAGGCAGATTTTATCATTCTGAATTATTATTACTGACACTGATTTACAGAGCCCTTGCTTTTATTATTTTATTATAAACGCTGTCCCCAGGCACTATGCAAACATACAACCACAGTTCTAGTCAATTTATACTCTCTGTGGAAGTCAAAAAACCAGACAACATAAGTTAACATTTCCATTGCTTTGGTTGTTTAATTGTTGTTTTGATAAAACACAGAGGTCTGGCTACTACCGTGCAAGGGAGCTATATTTTTATTTGCTACGTGAGGTTCATGAGGAGAAGTGAAGGTGCAACAGAACCTGCTGCGATTTCTGGACAAGGCTCAAATTCACCCTGGCTAGCTTTAGATGCTTACCAGAGTCACACAATTTTGGAGACGATTCACTAGACCTTCCTCTGTAGGCAAGTGGTGACAGGTCAGGAATTCACACGTTTTCTCAGGCGTAGTGGGACACAATTCTTTCTCTGACATATTATAGGGCAATTTAGGATGATTGCATTCCTAATTGGGATGCCTCAGTTATTACTTAGTGGGATGAACAGTTGCTATATGAATTTGCAGAATGGAAACAGCTAAGCCAGAGATGGTACTGGAGCACAACTACGACAACATAAGAATGAATCACACCACTTTTTTCTCTTGTTGAAGAAATAAAGCTAATCCAGTCTCTAATCTAAAAAAAAAAAAGATCAAGTTTTATAAAAATTTGAGACTATTTTTGTTTATTCAGTGGTTTGTTGGTTGTTTTTTTTAATATCACAATTATAAAATTACATTTTTTTATGTTTTAAAAGTGTTTTTAAGGTATAGTAATAATAATAATGAAATAAAATATAGAATACTTGTTGGGTTTTGCTTTCATGACAAATAGGCACTGACAAATCCATGCCACATTACCATCCTTGATTGCTCTGATGGAACTCATTTTCATCTCCTGTTCCTCTAATTACATGAAAATTGCATACTTTTTATGCATGACACATTTTCTGCAGCTTTAGAAAAAGGTTGTGAAGGCGAAAAAAAAAAAAACATTTATCAGTTTCTTTCCCCCACTCATAAAGGCTATATGTCATCTACCCAACGATCAATCCAGCTTTAAGTGCCAGTTTTCTGTGCTATTGTTATAACCAGAAAAGGAAGTATATGAAAAAATATGGGTTTACGTGTAGGTTTTTTCCCCCTTATCTCTTAAGAATGGATATTTAGAGTGGTCTTGTCATTGGTCTGTTATTCTCTTTCCAGCCCTACCTTCCTTAATTTCAGATTTCAAAGCATGAATGAATGATACAACACCAGACTAAGTAGAAAAGACTAACTTTGAACAATAGCACCTCTTAAGCTATTCCCCATTTCTCAGGTTTTGTTGAAGATTTATTTTAATAGTCAGATGAGGGAAGTGAAAATCACCATCATTGCTGCAAAGGCATTAAAAGTAAGTGGACAGTACTAATAAATTACAAGTACAAGGATAAATTAGATGCCACATACATGTTTTTTAGTTATTTGTTTGCTTTCATGATGGAAAATGGAAAGGCTGAGGGGAAAAAAAATATTGATGCTGTTAGTCGGTATTTACCTGCAATGGGTTTGCACCAGGTGTGTGCATTTTCATTTTTTGAGGGTTACAAGTGATCTGGGTATTTTTCTCCTGACAGTAACACTAATGGTGAAATATGTTCGGTGTGTAAAGACCTCCATCCAAATGGCCAACACAAGCTCAAGCCACTTGTAAGCCCCTCTGGAAGTTCATTGAAAATCTTCATAGAGCTTCTGCAGTGACCAGCCCCTGAGCTTTGAAAACAAATGTATTTCAGGATGTTGCTGCTGGTTTGTGTTTTATTTCTGTTATTCATGCTAATTCTTGTAAGTCAGAAATTTGTATCAGCAGGAAAAATTTATATGATTTAACTAAACAAAATTTTCGAGAGTCTTTCTGAAACAGAGGCTAACTGGGACCACGGGTACCCAGAATATACTCAGTTCAGTTGTAGATTAAAGCTGAGAAGCTGGCCAGAATAAATGGAATAAATAGATACTGGCTACTGGAAAGTAAGTATTGAAACACCTGTTTCCATCTTCAGTTGATTTAGGTCTTAAGTTGACTGCAGAAGCAAAATCTTTCCAGAAAGAGTGAAGCAAAGCCAACATTGCCATGATGCCAATGTTGGCAGGCAGTGAAAGCACTCAGATTCATCCTGGCACTTCAGCATGTCTAGCAATTGCCCTGCAACAGTACATTGAAAGGACTCGTGATGGGGAATGCCTCACTCAGGAAACCCACTGTCCTTTGCAAATTTCACATTCAAGAAAGTACAAGCCTTTTAAACCTTAGAAGTGAAATGCAATTCTGTAGAATTTTTGAGTTAAAACGAAGAGCTGATCTTGAAGAGAAGAGCAGAGCAAGGTAAGAGCTTCCTGCAGCATTAACAGAATAATAGCAAGTCAGAAAAAGAAGCTGGCAAGATACGTGCTAAAGAAAGAATGCTATGCCATGAGCTCATTCTGGTCTGATCTACGTGCAGCTAATTTCCAACATAAAACATTCACAAGTAAATAAAGCACCAATCTGTCCTTCTTAAATGTCTGTTGCATTACTGCAAGACTTTTCTCTTTTCCTCAGATTTGTTTATTACACCCACTGGTTACATCATCTATTGAATTAACCCCCAATCTCATTCTTAAAAACCTCTATAACCTTGAGTAAAGTTATCACAGATGATAAAGGCATCACAGACAACTAATCCAACTTTACTTCAGTCTCTGCAATGCTTTTATCTTTGCAATTTGTTCTGGTGCTGGGGATGAATAAAAAAGGAGCTTTACTAATACCTGAGAAAAGTTATGCATATTGTGTGTGTGCAAAACTGGGGACTAAATTTTGCATACTTTTCAAAAGTGGGGCTGTCTGTAGCCAGGGATGAAATTTTCAGTGAACTTGATAGAATTATTGTACTCATTTTACCAGAGTCAAGATTTAATTCAGTGCTTTGTGGCTTGCATAATGTTTAGTTCACTGGGGCCCCTATACACTGGTAAAATATTGTCAATTAATAATAATGAATTTGTTTATTTTCTTTTTCTGAAGCTATGAAATGGAACCTTTAAATAATTAACCGCCACTCTGTTTTTCAGAAAAGTTGGTATTTTCCATGTGTTTTTAATAATGACAGCAAGAGTATTAACTATAAAATAATACATTTCAGAAGAAAGTAACAAAGAAGTTTATTTAGCTTTACAAAGAAAAAACCAACATACTTCTTATCTGTATTTTCTTATTATTGAAGACCTAGGTACTGATCCACAGACTTTATAATGACAATTGTTGAGAGAGTGGTGCAAAATTTTTTATAGGGAATATTTTAATGAAGATGTTCATATTGATGTAGTTAATGGGTTGACAGTATATTTTTATATTAGGACATATGGATGACCACTAAACATTGACAAAAATGTTCAATGATCCCAGAGTTGCATGAGTTAGATATAAATGTATGCATGTTTGAAAATTTGTGCCCCAAAAATGCCTGATAAAGGAGCTCTTCCTTATTAATCTCTCAATAGATGAATGTTTTCAACAACAGGATGTGGCTTTGTGAATGAAGATTATGGCAGTGAAATGCTCTATTTTCAGTGAAATAGAAGCAATGTTGTTTCTATTCCCAGCAGGAATGATTTGTTCAATGTCTGGTGAGTTCCATTGTGTTTCTGTGCCTTAGGATCCCCACCTATAAAGACGGGTTCAAAATTCTTGGTGAGTAGACTTGCAAATTATTATCGTCATGAATAACAAGTCCAGTTATATTTGAAGTGGCATATAAAGCAATTTTGTTCTTAAACTTTTTCAGAAAGTTAAATAATATGTAATTGCAGGTATTAAATGTGAGGAAACAAGGTTTTTAATGATTTGTAGCAAATGCCACAATTCTCCCCTGGAGATTGTGAACTGCTCTAATCCAGAAACATCCTTTGGAAGTGTGCTGGAGGATTTTTTAGTTCTTGCAGAAGGAAGGGTGAGTAATTTCTTCCATGTTGAAGAAAACACAAAGCCTGATGAGCTGAATTAGTATATATCATTTGACTGAGTTGAAAGAAAATATACAATTGTGCAATTAAAGAGATTTAGCAAGAGATTCATAGGGAGTATAATTGAGAATGACAGGATGAAATCAAAGAAACAAAAATGTGTTACAATATTACAGCATGCACCTTACTGAGAGATCTATTAGATTATAGAAATATTTATTGCTGGAATGGATAACAAGCAGTGAATAATCAGGTTTATGCTGAGCCTGAACATTGAGCGTGAGCAATATGACCTCAGAGGTCTTTTCTGATTCTCCGTTTCTACAATATCTTTGGTAAACAATGAGGTCCTGCAAGTGCTAGATATGTACAACAGAAGAAAAAAGAAAAGCTTAACTACAGTTTTCTTTTAAAAGACTTAGGGAACTGCAGAGACATAACAAGAAAACTGAAATAAATTACTGAAACTTAACTTGGCATAGAAATATACTTCAGAGGGGGCATATTAGAAGTCATACAACTTGATCAGAAGATCAACATTTTGTGCACATCTCCTTAACACCAAGGAGTAAAGACAGTTCCCTCACCTCTGTCTAATTCTGCAACATTGTTTTTTTCATTCAATTTTCTGTAATAATTGATGAATTACTTATTTATCAAAATGTCAATATTTGACATTTATAAAAAATTACTAACAGTTCCAGTGACAAATGAAATTACATACCTTCTACTGAGAAAATTAAATAGAAAGGTAACTCATAAGGTATCACTGAAGCTGATGATAGTTTTGTTTTCCATCATCATCATTACAATATTCAAGATAATAAAATAGCAAAAGCATAAATTTATTGATTTTTCATTGTATTTTACAGTACTATGGAGTTAGAGGAACTTTACAGATTCTTTTTAGAGATGTCAAATGCAGTTTCAAGCCTGGATTTTGAACCCAAGCATGCAGGGAAAAATTGTCTTCAAAGTTGATCTCAGCTTTATTATGGGATCAGATTACTTCTGAGGCAGGGTCAGAATACATTATGAGCCATAAGGAGTGATGTATGGGATGGCATATCCTAGGCAGTGGGCTGTGTCTTTTTGTAGTGCCCAAATAAGATTGTTCTGTATGGTTGTACACTTTGTATAGAGAATCAGTGAATGACTTCTACAGAAAAATAATTTAAGTTGTCATTGCAACATCGAAGACTCACCATTTCATGTTTTGCATCAGTCTTGGCTTTCATTGAGAGCAATAGCAGACAAAGGCATACCAAGCCTTACAAGATCACCCTTTTAAAGAAATTGAAGACTAAAGGGAACCTTTCTAAATCTGGGAGCATAAATCAAATACCTACATTTAAAAACAATCATCTAACTTCAGAGAGTGAAAATCTGTTTCTTCCTCACTGTCTGGGATGCTTGAGCTTTTCCGATGTGCTGTTTTATGAACAATAAGGGAAGAGGAAGGTAGCCTTAAGTGTAGGTAAGAGGTCTGTATCATTCTGAGAATGCAGTTTCTCATGGTCAGGATGCTATTATTATTAATAATAATAATGAAATTATTTATTATTAATAATGATAATAATTTTTTTTTGCAGACCTTTTCTTTGAGTTTCTGATGTGACATCAAAGTAGGGTACTCCTGTAACTGAAATGTTTTACCTAGTTCCATTCACCTAGCTGTTCTCAGCATCGCAGCTGAGAATGCCATACGAGTTTAATTTTTGATGATTTAGTTATGAAAAATCTTTATTATGTTCAGGGGTGCCTTTATTAGAAAGATTTTTTAGAAAAATGGAGATGCCATTACTTAGAAATGTAGCTCTGAGTGTCACCTTGTACAGGAAAGTCAGTGAAAAGAGTGAAATAGTCCAATAGCCAACCCCTACCTGTACATTAATCAAGCCATCAGCAGACTCTTAGTTATTCTCCATAAGTTTTTACTGGTTTTGCCTCACCTAAAATACTCTGCTCTTACTTTATTACATACAGTGTCATCAAATTAAAATGACTCATTATTCATTTGTCTTTTCTTATTGTAAGAACCTACCATGGTTTGTTTCAGGGAGGCTTTAGGCTGAGGTGGCTATATATTAAAAAGCTAACAGTATGAAAAGAAAGTATTGCTCAATTTGCAGTATATGAAAAAATGAGAATTGATGTCTGAGCTCTAACTGAGCTCACAAGGCCTGAAGCCACTTGTCCTGAAGGCCCAGCTGGCTGAAAGACTATTTAAGGTATTATTTATTTTTTGTTATATATTTTATGCTTACAACATTGGCAGTAAATAAACACATTGAAGAAGAAAACACTACTTAACGAGGAGTAGATGAGATTGAATGTGACTGTTCCAGACCTGTACAAGAAGCACTGGCCCATTAAATGAATGTGTAGAGCTACTTCTTAATGTGTTAGCCAAGTAATCAATTTCTGAAAATACCAAATAATTTAAAAATAGCCCTGTCTGACCTGAACCAGTACTGGCATCAGACCAGGCATTTCTCAGGTACCTACTTCTTCCCTTAATCAATCAGTTCTGACATTTTTCCTTTTTCCTTTTATTCCTTTCTTTCTCTTTCTCTGTCGCTTTTTTTCAAACCTCCTTTTGTAGAATTACATGGCCAGCCAACCTTCATAGATAAAATTCTTAAGCTCCTTTTAATATTCCATTAGCTTTGTAGCCCATTAACACATTGGAGTTGTTGTAAAGGAGAATCAATACAGCAGATACCACTTGACTCTGGAAACTAGGACCCTGGGAGCTTGCTTGTAGTGTTGGCATTGCTTTGCTCTGCAACCTTGAGCCATCTACTTAACCTCTTGGTGCCTGAGTTTATTCAACTGTAAGCAAATGTAACAGCATTTGCATACTGTACAAAGGTCTTGAGAAATGTAATTTGTAAACCTTACTCGATGCACATCTATTCATGCCTACTCAGATTTGTAATTCCCTTACAGGAGTCAAATAAAATCTGAGGTCACTTCAGAAAATATTGCTTTTAATATTTGCTTTCTGCTTTGAGGTCTTTGAATAAAACAGGGTTTGTCAGGGCCAAGTGTTGAATTCAGAGAAGAAAGACTGAGACAGTTCTTTTGTCATAAAAAGAACATAACTGAATTAGAAAAAAGAGAAAATTATAAAGAGTGATGGGAAAGATATATAACTTTTTTGGATTATGTTTGTTTACACAGTAGAATTCATAGTTACTGGAAGTTCCTAAGACAAGATTTTAACAGTTACAGAATACAAGTAGATATGTATATACACATCATAAATGTCCCTTATTATCCTAAGTAAGTAACACAACTTTGAAAAGGATCTAAAGATTCATGTATTCAGGAAATATGCTAGTCTCTAGCATTAGTGATCACAGCTTAAGCAAGAAACCACATGGAAAAATGTTCAGTCAAATAAAAAACACCAGTTTTAAGGGTTTTATGGGTCTTATCCAATATAATAATTACTGTGTTCTTAGTATATTCTATTCTATACTTGTATCGAAAATGCAGATAATCCCCACTGGGTTTTTTCTTTTTTGGGACATTTTCAGGACTGTGTGCTGGAAGGGGTTTCCCTGAGCAGCTTGTTTAGAGGCCTGTGTACCTCATTAGAGCACTTCATAATTTTTTATGGGACAGACCACATGGAATCAGAGTATCCACTGATGACTGTGTTCACTTCCATAAGCTTTAAGTATTTTCTCATCAGTGGTTCAAATATATAATCCTGGTTCAGCAGGTTTATGAGAAAACAGTGAAGGCAAGGGTGGATTTTTTTTGCAATTCACCTTTCTAGGAGAAAGAATAATTCACTTCAGTTCAAAAGTGCTAAAAAGATTGAAGTCAAAGGACTATAAGATTTTACTCCGAGAAAGATTTGAAGGATGTTGTTTGGAGAAAGGTGACAGCTGGGAAACTGAGAAAAATAAAAAAAACTTTTCTTGAAGGTTTTATCTATAAACTCATGTTATTTCAAGTCTCAAGGTTGTAATTAAGCTCAGACTCTCCAATTGCAAAACTACCTACCTCTTGCTTTCTGTTGTAGGTGGACAACTGGCATGAACTCGGCAACTCATATCTGGCAGGGAAACACCAGCGTATGAGAAGGACCAGTTAATAAATGAACTCTTTCCATACAGATGCTGTAGTCTGGGATGTCTGAAGCCACATGCAGAGGGAATGCTGAGCCCACACTCAACCATATTGGACAAAGACTTTGTGGATATAGATATGAATAGGGTGAACGTAAACTAGGAGATGAGCTGACTGGGGAACTGTGACTGTAACGGTTGTCCAGTGGCTTATGGTTGCCAGCCATTTCTGTTTGGTCAGACTAGTTATCTTAGTGAAATTTATTGAGAGAAGAAACACTTCTCTCTTTTTTTTTTTTTTTTTTTCCTTTTTACAGTTTTTGCTAAGGTGTTCACAAACACCACTGAATTTGATTTCAGAATGGCAGTTCCGATATGTTGAGCTGTACTTTAAAAAAATGAAACATGCAAAATGCTTCTGTCTGGTGAATGTGGGATGAATATTTTATTATTCTATCTGTTTTAAGATTAATTGAAAATGCTCCCTTTAAATTAATTTTAGGTCCATGAAGACATAGCATTGGTACATATTCTGCTCTGCCTTTTTTAGGTTTAGATTATATCTTAAAAATATTTTACATTTCTACCAAAGTTAGCATTTTCTTCTTTTTTTTTTTTTTTTTTTTTTTTTCACTTTTTCTAGTGATTTCTTTCAGTTTCTGTATATGGCTGCCCAATACTTCCATTTCGAATGGGGCTTAGAGTTTGTGCTCTGCTATATCCATTATTTTTCACTTTGTTGGTTGCTAAGCAGTCTCTTGTTGCTAAGTAGGGTATGAGCACTTAATTTACTACATTCTTTTTTCTCGTACCAGATTTTAGAAATTGCAGATCCTGTTTAATCAATGTGTAAATGCATGCTTTTGATGTATTTTTCCTAAGAGCAATATTTTGATCATTCTTAATGATACTTAATGAAGTCACCGCATGATTTCTGATTGTACCTAATTGAAGCTTGTGACTTGCATTTCAATGCTATCATCTTACAGTTTTATGTCTATCAGATGAAACTTTACAAGGACCCAAATAAATTAGGAAATATACTGAATTGATGCATTTCTTGGAACAAAGTCGCTTGGAAAAATATATATAATTTTTCAAATTAATTGTAGGGTAAAAGGTATCTCTTACATTGGAAATCTGAGATAGAAGAGGCACAAGAAATTGAGATGACAAGAAGGCTGGTTTATTATTGTGTAGTGTTGGATTACATAAAATGAACTAAAGCTTTAGGACTAGTTCCTTAAGAACAGATACCTGCACAAAGCTATCAGAACACTTAATTATTTATTATTATTAGTGCTGATAACAGGTTGGCATTATACAGGCACAAACATCAAGGCAGATCCCAATCTAAATTCCTTACAAAGTAAAATACAGATTCTGTAAACATTTACTTTTAAAAAACAGCAACATAATTTGTGTAAAGTCATCAGATCTATCTATCTGAAAAGTTTTTGGGGATCTTCCTCATCTGGTGAATTAGGTGCCCAGTTTAACACTAGTAAGGAGGTCGAAAAATACGGATGGTCTAATTGAGAAAATTAAAACTGTATAACCTCTTTCTCCCCCCAAACTTACAGAAATGTAAAGTCAGATATTTACCAGCCGAGTAAGGTCCTGGAAATACCTTCTCACAATTCACGTTTCAGTTACACAGCTGATCATCGCTCTTAAGAAAATTCAAATGGTACATGGTATTGTTTTCAACTCTTCTGATATGTTCCTGTATCTGGGGGACCCCATGTGAGATCATTTATACTTGGCTGTACAAATAAACTACAAGTATTGGCTTCAAGTGGGAAGAAACAGTTTAATGCCTACATCTCTATTACATCAGTGCTCAAAGGGTCTGTGGCAGAACTCTTTCTCCTTAACACCATAACCCCACTATATCTACATCTTTTCATTCATGTTCCTGTTACTTGTTCATTTTGCTTTTCTTTTTTTCTCTCCTAGAATCAAGAGTCACTCAATTAAAAACGTATTTTACTTGAATTATATAAAGAGTAAAAAGAGCAAATGTTATAACATAAGAAATAAATAAAAAAAAATCAAAAAAGGAAAAAAAGGGGGGGAAAAAGAATATTATATTAATTACATTGTAAGTGCTAATATGTCAGTATCATTTTTGCATGTTTTTAAGAGATCTTTGGCAGTGGAGTTTGCAGGCTACCTGAGACAGCCTAAAGAATAAATAAAAAGTCCTAGGTAAAGAAAAGCTTTGTAACGCTTTTTAATAAAGGTGCTGTCAGCTGTATAAGAGAAAGTGGTAAAAAGAGAGCAGTTAAATATATGGATGCTCTTAAATCCTGTAAGTGACTTCTGACTCACAGTCCAAGTCAATGGACTTACAATGTTACTTATGATCTAGCCATGTGGCAAATCTCAGCATTGAATAACACCTCATTTTAAGTGCTCTGTTGGCAGAATGAGTCAGAGCGAGTCGACTCAAGGATATGGTATTCAAAAGCCACCAGGAGTCAAGAGAAGCTGCTGTTTGCTAACTTCATAGACAGAGCATGCTAGTGGGGCATCTTAATGAAGCAGAAACTGGAAGCTTGTTGTAAGAAGTTTCTAAATCTTTCTCCATGTTCAATTTCCAAATAATTTTGGTTTTAGATTAGGACATGGAATAACATCAGTGGAAGAGATGGGAGATAATCTATCCCAGACTATATGCAAAGTGAAAGATATAAAGTGGAATGTGTGTCCTTGTCCACCCAAACCCATCTCTGCTGGCATTGGCACAATGGCATATAACCGTTGCTATAAACTTAGAGCAATCATTCTAAAACCAGTTATTACTTTTCCCCCACTATTGTCATAGGAGTGGTTCCCCAGAAAGTTTTATAGATCCTTGTGGATAAAAGCCTCTTAATGGACTAAATATAATTTATTTGTGGTCATTTATACTGATTTATTCTGTGTTAAAATTACCTTTAACTCAAGTAGCTGCTTTTCCCATTTCCCTCCCTGTTCCATATCAGCTTTAATTTTTCTTGCTTCAACAAAAGAAATACTTTCTGTCTTTTCTCTTTTTCTCTCTCTTTTTTTCTGACCGTTCTAGTAATACTGCAATCTTGCTTAAGGTATAGGATCAAATGACTTTTAAATTAATCATACACACGCTGAGTGGTAAAATTTGGACGTGACAGAAGTTCAGTTTAAGTAGTGAGGATGACATAAACAAGTCCTTAGTTCTATTTGTGCATATGCAAGGTAACACTGCTCAGGACTCAGCTGAATTACTTTGAATTCATGGTGCACCTGAGAATATGACTAGCTGTAGGCATTGCCCCCCTCCTTGCCAAAGAGCATTATGCAACTGTAATGCCCCAGATTCTAAATAATTAACATCTCCACCCACCCTACTCCATATTGCAGTCAAAACGAGGAAAAAAAATAATAAAGATTTGGCTCCTGCTAGTACTATCATTCCAAACATTTTCAAATCACTGCCTAATCAGCTCCCTCCTTGTTTCAGATTGTCAAACTCCTAAGCAAGCTATTACTCTTCCTTACAATACTAATGTTGCTTTCCAGATATACAGCATCAGCAAAAGCCTTGGATGATGTGAATCATTTGTTCAAAGACATACATGGGCAGAATGTGAATAGAAGACTAAAGTGCTTTATGCTGTCCATCAGAAAATCAAATGATGTTAAAAAAAAAAAAGGAATAAGAAATAGAAGGAAATACAAAATCTATGGTACAAGAGGAAAGTTTGGAGGGCCTTCTGATGGGAAAGAGGGAATTAAAACAGAAAGAAGAAAGACTCTTCCCTGCCTAATGAAATATTTCCGTCTTCTTTTTCTTTTTTTTTTTTTTCTTTTCTTTTTCTTTTTTTTTTTAGTTAGTCATTAATCACACTTGAAACACTGAGTTATGGAAGAACCACGAAAATCTCAAACTTCTGAATCTTTGTGGCATGTTTGTGGGGTGTCCTTAAGTGACACTCAAGGACACTCAAGAGGACAGGAGGGGAAGGGACCGAAGGAGCAGGAAGAGAAGAACTTTGTCACTTGAACATTTTATCGTGTGAAAATGTTGGTTTTTTTGTTTTTTTTTTTTTTATTAGTTTAACAACTTAAAGTTCTAAAAGAAGTAAGTCCATTCTGTCTGCAAAGAAGGGAGAGGAAAGGATGCTGAAGATGAAGTCTTTCACTCAATCCCTTACCCCAGTCCCGGATATGTGGTACTAGGCACTGGGTAAATGTTTCGATCTTCCTGTTCATTAACTTATGAACCTCTTTTAAAGACAGGAATGCAGACTGTGCCAAATATATGCTGGGCTTGTAATGAAGACAAATGTCCAGTTGGAGCTTAGTTCAGACTGTGGAATTCATTTTACTCTGGAACTTTTATCACTGTGTAATGAGAGTGACATTTGGTCAGTCTTGTTAGAACTGGATTCAGACCAGGGATTTAGAGGTGAAGGCGCAATAAATTCTCTCCTCTAACACTGATAGTGATTGTTTTAATTGTTGTGCTGTTTTTACTGTCACTGGGCCTTGCATTATTATTATTATTGCTACATTATTCTGGCTCTATCATTCCCTAGAATGAATTCTCCACCTTGTTTGTATTTTCTGTATTCTCCCAGATCAGCTGTATAGTCTGAAATTCATGAGGACTCGTGGATTGTCTAAATGCAGACAGTGCTGGGGTAGAAAATTCCAAAAAGAAACCCTCAGTGCTGTTAGGAAATGATCATGGTAATTGAATAGGTCACACAGCTCTCTTATGACTGAAATACGGCAAGCAACTTGGCTAGTTTGCACCCTACTGATTTGAAGTAAAATTGCTTAACACTGATAACTCTTAGTCTGGTATCTCTGAATCTTGAATTAAATTATCCTACTTTTCTGGTCTCAGGCCATTGTGATATATGACATGGAAAAGATAAAAGAAGCTACTTTAAATAAGGATTTACCTAATCAGATATAAGTTATAAACAACTTTATCTGAACTACTCACTTACAAAACATCCTCATATAATCAATGCAGAGAAATAGCCACAGCTCAGACAGAATTTCACTATTCCGAAGTAGGCCTCTAAAATAGGTTAAATATGAGAATTCAGAGTAATTCATTCCAAAGATGTTTAGATCAAGGAGATGAGCTACAAATTTTCTACATAGACAAATACAGTAAGGAAAGATGAATCCCTCAGTCATTCCTAGGTAATTTTTGAATAAAATTTGTCCTCTTCAGTGTGAGGACTCCAGCAAAAAGAAAGATAA